TTGAGGAACTCCAATGGAGACCGGCGCTGGAGAGGAATAGGTTGAGCCTATTCTCACTCGGAATGACCTGTCTGATAGGAACGCCTTGATCCAGCGAATGATTTTCCCTTGAATCCCGTAAGACTCGGATGGGATAGCTTTGGTCAGTCCATCCAGATACGCCTTCTCGGGAATGATGTCTTCTGCTAATTTTTTTGAGACCAGCCGCCTCTAATAAGTGAGCAACACGCCAGTGGATGGATGTGTCACGTGCTGGATACGGACTAAACGAACCATGCCTTGATTGGTTAGTGCTAACCAATCTGGAGCGAGTATCTGTATCTTGGCGCTTCGCGCCGTGTCACGACGATTCTTACGCGACGTTGTGGAACATTCTGTGATGGCCTCATAGATTCACTCGTGATAATCTTCCGTTGTCTCCACAAGGGGCGGCCTCAGGCTACCCTGCGCTTTGGTGTGCCATAGTGGGTGAGGCAGGAAGCCGAGGACTGACGTAAAAGTCGCAACATATATTGCGTGTGGCATATGCCACAGCAGTATTCCGTACCGATAAAGATTTCATCAAAGGCTATTTGAACGGCAGTGTTGTGAAGACCTTCCAGCGTTCTCCCTATTTTCTTGTCAACCACGAAATCAAATAGAAATGGAGAGTGTGCGCATCCGTGACGTGCGCCCATTTTGTGTACGGCAGGCTTTAGACATTTCTCCATACACACGCCAGAATGTCTCAAAATACAAAGAACGTATTATGTTCACAAAGTTCCGGTGCTTTCTTGCCGTTCAAGGGTGCTAAGGAGAACAGACCGGTCAAGCGAGTCGAATGCGCCTCGGAAATCCAGGAATAATAAAATTGTGGGTCGTTTGCGCTCACAGCATTGTTCTAGAATCTAACGGATTGTGGAAATTCAGGCAACCCACCCCCTGCCAGGCCGGAATTCCGCCTTCTGCTCTCGAGTCAGTATTCACGGACCGCCATAAGGTAACGTCGCCGGAATGACGCCAGGAGTCTCGTTACGACCAGGGTCGAGCTGATCCATATGTGTTTACGGCACTCAATGCGAACCCAGTTTTAGAAAGTGCGCGGTGCAACCGATTCGCTCCAGCTGTGTGTGACAATCTCCTCTCGATTGCAGGTGAACAGATCAGACAAGCCCTGGTTGAGGACTTCATTCCTATCTTTGAGCAATTTGCGTGGGAAGTTGTCCGGACCAGGAGCTCAGTGGCGCTTTGAAATGGATATTTGGTCATAGATCCCCAAGTCCGTGGGGCTTACGGGTTCACCGTCCAGGGTTCTGATTTATATGCAGGCTCCAGGTGAGAGGCAGTGAGTGGCCTCTAGAAATGTTTGACGCAATCGGCACTCCTTATTCAAAATCGTCACGCGCCTTTGATCGTTGATCTTTTCAGTAAATCATTCAAATCGAATTCATCTGGTTCTTTGCTCCTCTCATTTGGATTGTGTTGGAAATTTTCCAAATGTATGTTTGGAGGCCTTTCCTCCTAAAATAACCGCAACTTTGTGCGGTGTCGACTACCTGGCGAACCTGTGGGATGTTCCCAGACTTACGAGACGACGTTCGTTTCGATACTTTCTTTGGTGACTCAAAAACTCCACAATTCCCTTTTTGACCTAATTTTTTACTACTTGCAACTACCGCATTCTGTGGATTTTTTGTGGTAGACTCGGCTTATCCTTTGCTTGTCGATCTTCCTAAACCACACGCGTCGACTATCCGTACAGTTTCATTTCTCTTACAGGAGACCAGTAATACGAATGACGAGCGTGTTAGTGATATTTTCTTGGATTATGAATCCAACTTGACACAAGCCATCAAGCGGTGCAAAGAGAACTATGACTTTGACTTCATGAATCAATTGCAACCCCAGTGTTGCACTGAACCTTACATGCTTGGTATTGATGAAGCAGGTCGCGGTCCTGTTTTGGGTAAGTTATATTCGAGAGGCACTGATATTCAGAAGGTGACAAGCACTAACAAAGTCTCTTTTTTAAGAATTATGATGATTACACTACCAAGGTGACCTTAATAAAATGAACAATGCAAAAAGTGGAATAAGTCAAAAGGTGACTTCGAAATAACTTGACCTGATGTGGATGAAGGTGGTAAGCATGGCACGTGATGCAGGTAGTAGCCGAGTAAACAAAATGGATGAGAAGGTTGCAAGTGGGGCAGGATTTGTCTACGTGATCTGTGTTTGCGGAGCAGACGAGACTCGTGACCTAGTGACTGCAAACGTGTTGGACAAATGAAGCGAAGGAAAAAGGGGGTGACCGCTACAACTACTCTTCTCTAGCGAATGGAAATAAGTGTTCATGAAGTAGTAGGTAACGTTAACCTGCGACGAAATTGTCCGGCCAGTGGAAACTTCTACCAGTGCGAATGATGCGTTGATTGTCTGTATGAGTAAGGTACCCCAAAAATGGAGATCCATCTGTGGATGAATGCTCGGATGAGCGTCTTTGTCGACGTGTCATGTGTGGGAATGACTATAGGCCATCGTACAAAACGATCGACACGTCAGGAGATAAGGGCATCGGGAATGAACCGACAGTGTCGAGGTGAACATGGTCTGGGAGAGGCACTGATGGGTGAGTGAACATTGCGAATGACCTTTGAGCGTTGACGTGCAATACAAGTTTTCGCCCATGAACGTATGTATTTGTTCATATTCAGCCATACGTTGAGAAACGAGTCTGACCGTTACACGTATGCCAGGGTGAGACGTCATACAGGCCGTCGAAAACATGACGGTCTTGGAATGGGTGTAGATAAATCGCAGTCGATGGCATCTGGCGCTATGTGTAATGGTACTGGTTTAACGTGCGGCGAAGATTACTTGTGAGATGATAGCGTTATGATGGGCTCGTCTCTTTGTAGCAGAGGTTCAAGAGCTCGATAACTATATCGCGATGACATGCCATCGGAATCACCCTAAAGAGAACAATTACCGTGGTCGGCTTATCTCACGTGAAGCAAAATTAACTTAAACGTTGGACAGATGTAGTAAACTGCTCATAAGGTTGCTGAAAACTCTAACAACATATGACCGGTTTCACCCTTGGGCTTATCAGGTAAGCATAGTCGCTGAGTTTCCGTGAACTTCATGCTCTAATTGAATCCAAATTACACGAAATGCGAGTTATACACTCGTCTGCAGACCAGTTTGGTCCTGACAAGTGAGAGACTCAACTGGGTTCCAGGAGAGTCTCTCGTCGAGACCAAATTGTTGTGCGGATGAGTGTAACCTAAGCTTTCTTTCAAGGGAACCCAATAACTGAAATACTAACCAGAACTTTTCCGCAGCTTTAAGATCCCACGCTCAACTGGCTAAATGCAGTGCTTTTTCATAACCTCATCTCGACGCCTGAAAATTGCAAGCAAATTTTAAGTGCTGACCCCTTTGATGGTTGTCTGTGAATTTAATTCCGCACGTGGTGCAGCCTACGTGGTTCGTATGGCTCGGCAGTCGTCTTATCATAGTCATTATCATTGTCAGCTGTCAGAACCACATACTTGTCGTACAGTGGTTGTAGCTGTCACAGTTTCGTTCACCGATGATTTGAGGAGGTGGGGTAGATAGCTGTCCATTGGAGGCGGAGCTGATAAATTCGTCAGTACAACACTGTCAGTGAACTGTCAATTGGGGAGAATTGGGAAAGGAGCTATGCATTAAAGGCAATAGCTTGGACGCACGAGCGTCGCTGAGGTCGCGACTGGACCATGTATACAATCATTGATGTGGCCCGTCTCGGAGTCCCTATCCAGGGAGACGGCAATGACCAGCGCAGCTGAGTTTGCTGGTAATGGCTTTTATACTTCGCTTCCAAGTAATTGTTTGACCACCTCTGACTCGTTTCCAGTTTTCACGTCGTTGTGCATAAAGAACCCTCCGAGGAAGTTGGTCGACTTGCATACGCAGCACGTGGCCGAGTTAGCGCAACCGATGCACTGTGATCAGTTCATCTATTGAGGGTTACTTCTCCCGAATACCATTCGACATACTTCTGCATTGCTGATCCGGTGTTCCCACCAGGCTCGGGCAATGCTCCGAAGACATCGATGGTGAAACAGTGAAAGTCTTTTGACGTCCTTGGCGCGCAGCGGCTAGCTTTCTGATCGATATAGTGATATGGAGCGCACCGCAGCATTGTAAAGTCGACCCTTGACGGATAAGATAATGTCATGCCTATGCCACAGGTGACGTTAGTTCACAAAAGCTGCTCTGGCCTTCCCATTTCGGATGGAAATACCATCTTTCACGTGTCCACCGGGACTGATGCAGCTGCCTAGGTAAACAAAATAGTCTGCTCCCTCAATCGATTCATCCGCAAGCATGAGGATTCGATCCCACCCAGTCTTGTTGATTCCGGAATTCGGTCATCATCATCGACAGCATGACATCAGTGTTCAACACTGGTGCTTCACTGCCGTACAACCATGATTTATTTGAAAGCCTTATTGTAAAGAACAGAGTAAAGGTGGACGGGGAAGGGACTTAGTGCTAGCTTAACACAATCATTCCGAGGTGCCTACACCTCCAGACATTCACTCAGGCAATCTGGATGGAAGCTGACAACAAGAACGCCGCTGACATCAGTTGGCAGCCATATCTTGTAGTGTCTCCAACCAGGCACAGTG